TTTCAGATCCTCTGAGCCCCACGAGAGATGTCCTACCAACAGCAGCAGCAGTGCAAGCAGCCCTGCCAGCCACCTCCTGTGTTCACACCTAAGTGCCCTCAGCCATGCCCACCTCCTAAGTGCCCTGAGCCCTGCCCACCTCCTAAGTGCCCTGAGCCTTGCCCACCTCCTCCCTGCCCACCTGTGCAGTGCCCACCTCCTCCCTGCCAGCAGAAGTGTCCACCCAAGAGCAAGTAACAGCACTAGGATTCATCAGGACCATGAACCGGCTAGATCCACTCGCTCTTCTTGATCGCAGGACTCCATCATCTTCCCTTCAGCCACGGTGACAGATTGCATCCTCCCTAACCTCTGCTGGGATGACAGCTGACAGAGAAAATCCTAGGTACTGAAGCGGATATCATGTTGTTGGAAGATGAGCATTTGGATCGTCACCTGATCTCCCTTTGCCAGCTGTCTGTCACTGACTTGGCGGTGGTCCCAACCCTCATGCAAGTCTGCCTATTCTTTTGCTTCACCAATAAAGCACATGTTTCATGGTCGAGCCCATATTACTTTTTTTTGTGTTTTGTATTTTTATCCTGTTCTGTTAACTACATCATATGAGTGTTCCTTTTCATTCCCATTGAATCGTTACAATTAGGCTTTTCCATCACTCGAGTCAGTGTCTCTTCAAATGTGTTTTTTGTATTTGGTACAAAAAAATAACTGTCTTTTAGTCGTTGTAAACTTAGTTTTATCTCTTTTAGCTTGTATGACCCTGAAATAATTACTTAAAGTCGCTCAGCTTCAGTTTCATCATCTGTAAACGTAGGAAAAAATGTATTCAGCTCAGTGTATTCATAGCAGTTCTTCAACTTATTTACAAATATTTCCCAATGTCTGTCACACATCAAGCAGTCTTATAGAAGTTCTTGTTATTGATAGAGTCTATATTCTCAAGGGAGTTACAGCACACACGCACCCACACACACACACACACACACACACACACTCACACATACACGCACACACGCACACACAAACACACACCCCTACACAAATGTCACATTTGTAGGACAAATGATAGCGGTGCATGGGCAATATTTTAGAGAAAATTGTTAGAAAGAGTCTTCTAAAGTGACTTTTGTGTAAAGACATGAATGAATAGAAGAGGGAGCCATGGGTAGATCTGGGGTAGATTGCTCCAATCAGAGGGAATGGCAAGATTGTGTTAAGGAAATGCAGAATAATAGCAAAGAGATCGGTAGTCAAGGAGAGACTGTCTGCAAATCAGGCCAGAGAGGTTGGGTCTCTAGGATGCAGTCAAGATTGTGACATATATTCAAAGTCTGACAGCCATCTCATGCTGACGGTCAAAGG